AAACTTATGCAGACTCGTTTTAAAGTTATACATGCTTCTTAAAAGATATTTAACACAATCAAAATAATTTAATATGTACGATAGTATAGTTTTATTAATTTTAAGAAAAATGATTGAAAGACGCGCTTGCTATTAAAACTCTCTTTAAAATTGTAAAGCTGCTATTACAATGTGGGTGAATAGTTTAATTCCTTTACAACGCGAGTTATTTTATTTCGAAGTAAACTATGAGCGAAATTGTCATATATGAATAATGCGATCATGTATTGATAAAGCTTGTTTTTGATTGGTCAACAATCTTATGACAAAGCCCGTGATTTTTCGAATCAGTCATTTTACCGAATTTAGCTGACATCACGTATGGTTAGGGTTAAGCATTTGATCAGTTACAGGTATATATTTTTACTAAATTTCACCTGACGTGATGTCGGCTAAATGAGCTGTTGGCGAAAGTCCGCTCATAATTTATAACAATTATAATTATATCAAATAATATTATTATTGCAAAAATATGAATTGGAGGTTTTTTTATCTAATTATTAGCCAAAGCTTTATTAGCATCTATATATATAAATATTACGATTAGTAATACTTTGACTTTTTTTTTATACATATATATTTTAAACTAAAAGCTTTAAACAAATATATATTGATACAAATACTTAATTTTTAATTAATTTAAAAAATAAAAAATTTTTCTCAAGTACAATATGTATATGTATTAAGATTTTCTATTATTTGTCCCGTTATAAAAAAAAAACAAATATATGTAAAAATATCATCCACATATAAAATTTTATAAATACAAACAATAAACATTGTTAGAAATATATGTGTGAAATAATTTCTACATATACACAAGTAATAAATATAAATATATATTATATATTACTTCAAATCTTTTCCTTCACTTCCCCCTTTTTCATTTCCATATATTTTACAAATATAAAAGGAATCAAACACACTTTAAATAAATCCAGTTGTTTCAATGGGCATTTCATATACTTTGGAATTCAATGATTTCCAGTTTTCGTAAAGCTGTTGTGAGTATTTGATTTGATCGTTTACAAAACTCTGATACAAATGCGAGATAAAAGTAGAGCTTTTATGGAATAAGGTTAGTTCAGAATATAAACAATAACGCACAAAGGTTTTTCGCATTCGTTGATGCTCAATATCTTCCTTATCCTTTAAACCAAGAATTATATATAACATTAATTAAAATTCATAGGAAATAGCTGGTGATAAAATAAAGCCGAATAGTTACCTTTTGAATTGAAGCTTTTAATTTTTCTGCTTCCTGATCACCAGAAGGTAATGATGTAAGGCGAGTTTCATTAGATCTTATTCGAGTACTGATGGAATCAATCGTATCTACAGATAACCGTTCCTTTCGTTCAAAAGTTTCCTGGATCAAGGATGCATAATAAATTAACTATTCATCGGTAATTAGTATAATTAATGTTACGGCTGATGCTGAAGTTTGGCTGATGTTGAAGCTAAAAAATCTGATTGGCTAAATTTTGCAGATCACCCTAACCCTAACCAATCAGATTTTTTAGCTTCAACATCAGCCAAACTTCAGCATCAGCAGTCACAATTAATGATAAAGCTTACTCTAAAGGAAACGAGAAGATCACGTTGACGTTTTAAATTTTCCAAAACGGATTCAAGCGTTGATGCAGACTTTATTTAGAAATCAAGCATTAGTTTATATTATTTCTACTTGAAATTCAAATAACATTCTGCTAATAAATGACTCACCGTATTTTCCATGATGGTACTTGTTGTTTGGAAATGTTTTGATACATGCTCCAACCCTTGCACCACTTGTGAACAATTATAACAATCTTCAATATAGCAACCCTTTTCTTTTTCTATCAAAGAACTATCACAGATAACCAATTAAAATTTAATAATAATAGTACATACATTTAAATGATATATCAAACATACTTCAAAGCCAAGTGATATCGCATATAATCGATTGCTATGCCTTTGAAATAATAAATGATTGAAAAAGAAAATTAATTCTTAAATTACAATTCCTCCAAATCCACACGTAAAATGTACTATATCACATGCTATATAATATATTGTTAAAGTCTAGCACAAACCTTCTTGGCGACGGGAGATACGCTCCATTATATTGCACATATTTCTGTAATGTTCAACAGTATCATCTAATTTTGTCACAACTTTTTCTAACCTTTT